AAACTAGCATACAGTACGCCAACTTTTTCATGTGAATCCTATATTCTATAGAAATTTAGTCAGTGCGCTGTTATTTGCTAGGAGCGCACTGGAAAGCAAAAATCTTTGTCAGAGCTCCATCGATTAAATTCGCTCATTACTTTTATGACTCTGTTAAGGATTGCAATGGGATTCGTGAAATGTGTCATTTTAGTTTTGATTCACCACCGATATAACTTCGCCAATATATGTTTTCTTATTTGTTATTGTTGCGCAATCCACCAAAGAGGTATACGTGGTTTCATTAGTTCTGGTATTATTTGTGATTAAGATGTGCGTGTAAATTGACTGGTTTTTGTATAAGTTTCTTTATGTTCTGTTATTTTTTCATGTGTAAAGTGTTCGTTCCTATATCCAGGGTTTAGCTCATTATTCCTAGTCCTACATTTGGGTTTGTTTTTATATAACAGAAAGGCTGCAAATCCCTAATTCGAAAGTAAGAACATGAGCAAAGAAAACACACGGATAATTTATTTGTATATTTTTAAGTGATGATTTTTACCACGCAAGGAAACCAGCTCCTTTGAAAAACGTACTTTTTCTGTCAGACGAGAGATTTTATCGCTTTTTCTGTGACACTTCTTCCACTTTCCTTCAACCAGACTAGTGAAATTTTTGAATTTTATGATCTTTCTTCTCTTGATTGGTTTTCAAATTGTTGATGCATTTTAAGGCTGTCATTTGAATACCGGTGATTTTCGTCAGATTACTTATTTTAGCCGTCGGTGTAACGGGAGCGTGCGACTCTTCCACTTAGAAGCTAGGTCCAAAATGATGGCCGAAATCCTGGCACTGAGTTCCTGCACTCACACCCCTGCAGGGTTAGGGATCGTGACCTCCAAGCCGGAGCTTGATGGCTGATGCTGGTTTTGTGAGAAACTTGGGTCCATTAAAATCTCCCATATTCTCTTTCATCTCATCATCACTTATGCTCATCATTCATCATCACATCATCACGTAAACCCATCGCTCGAGGCCAGCCACATACATAATTAAACTCAAGCGAATAGACCCTTGATTTCCTACTGACCGCTTAAAAAATCTCCCAGACCACCTTTAAAGACCTAAGGCTCCATTTTACCACGTTTTTCTTAGCTCGCTTTCGTGTCTGTCTGTGATGATCAAATCTTGCAATCGATATTTCACCAACTTTCACGCTAGCTAGCGCTCTGAAACTTTTAAGGAAGTTCAGCTACCGATAACAATACAATAATCAATGATTTGTTGCACGTTTCCAGGCGTATATATTACCGTACCTTTCTTTATTACAGCCACGCACCCAGATAAATACGGGAACAACAATGGATCCCCTCGAATACAATTTTCTACAGAACTTTGGAAAGAATTTTCTTTTGTGCATATGCGTGGCCAACTGAAATGAAATGAATATTATGTAGGATGGTTGACCTTTTTGCAGTAGTTATAAACTCTAAAGGAACTCACAAGCAGGGGTTGGGAACCTTTAATGCACGTCATCCTCGAGAGGATATTCGTGTTTAGACTGCGTATAAACATCTAAAACGAAAAACGTTGGGGCCGAATGTATTTAATTGTTTGGTGATTACTTGATATGATGAATATGATGGTTCATTGAACATTTGATAAGTGTATTGCTGATATAATTCGAAATATGCAGTGGTTGAATTCAAAATTGAAATTAAGGCATGCCTAAATGAATATGCGCCCCATGTTTTTCGTTTTAGATGTTGTAAAATATTTTAACTGAAATACAAAAGACCAAGAGAATGAAAGCAAACAGAGATCAGCAGCTGCCGAAAAATTATTTTCTACTTTTGAGTCCACATGAAAAACGTGGTCTTTAAAAATTTTTTTTTATACATTTTATATGTGGCTAACCGACACCACAAAAGGCTATTACGTCATTTATGATAACATATCTGCAATTGACCGACTGATCTCTAAAAAAGAAACCATCGCATCCAACAAAGTCCGATCATTCATAAACATAGTTGATAAACGTCGTCACAAATGAATAACCCCAACTATACAATAATCAATTTGAAAGTACTTGTCACTGACTCTGCGAGTCAGGCTCCATTTTGTTCAGTTACACCTGTAAAAGAAGCATGTCCTTGAATTTATTCCTATATCCTCTGTGTTGGTGGGTTTGCGTCCAGTTTTTTTTTTTTTTTTTTTTGTTTCCAGTGTCACTTCTCGGCCTTTTGGCTAAGGGTGGTATCGCTGGAAAACGCTGGACCGCAAACTAAAGAGCACAAATCAAGAAAACGCTTTACCTAACTCAGGGAGCCGCAAATGGATATTTGTCCTATATTCATTGAATTGCTTGAACCCCCGAAAAATAAGATCGGTGCTAGAAAGACTGACATTCTAACCTTTCCAAGACGGAACAGTATCACCCATTCGGTGATGTTAAATTCTAAGATGATTAAAATTTATCCACTGCACCTGCATTTATCTACCTTGGTGGTTAATTCTTAACAGTATATCTATAAACCTATATTTATTCGGCTTTTGAAGAATGCATGACTTAAATTTGATTATGCAGTCAATACACAATGAATGGAGCAACGCATTAAGCGTCAGACTGTATATTTTCCCCAGCTGACAGACGGTACTGGTATTGTACGCGTTCATTACCGGTATTGAACGCGTTCATTACCAGTCGAAGCAACGGTTCCCAACTTCTCGTCGCGCACTGCACAGTACCGCGCTCGCCATTGACAAGTGACAAGTTATAGTTGTGTCGTGCGTTAAGTTTTACTGTTGCTCATGTACCTATCGGTGCTGTTAAATTAACATACCTATAGTGAACAGTGAAGGCCCCGAAAATGGCAAGTCCCCCTAGAAAAGTAGCTAAAAAATGGTACAAACAGTCTTTTAAAGAAGAGTGGTTACATGAAAAAGACTTTAAGGAGTGGCTGCAAGAAGATTCGAAAGAAAAAGGTGTTTCCTATTGCGCATGTTGTAAAACTCAAATAAAAAATGCTAATAGATCCATGTTGATGGCACATTGTAAGACTGCGAAGCATCTCAACAACATGAAAGAAGCTAAAGCAGCTACTAAAATTGATTCATTTATTAAGAAACAGATTCCCAGGGAGAGTGATGAAGTTGCAAAGGCAGAATTACTTATATCTGCTTATATTGCTGAACACAATGTGCCATTCGCGCATGCAGATCATTTAGTGGAAGTGTGCAAGAGAGCATTTCATGATAGCAGCATTGCTAAAAATGTAAAACTTCATGCGACAAAAGCTTCATATCTTATTCAGGAAGGAATTGCTTATCATGAAAAATGGGAAATTGTTGATCAGTGTAGAAATGAAAAGTTCAGTCTGATAATCGATGAGAGCACTGATATATCCGTTTCACAGGTATTAGCTGTTGTCGTTAGATATTTTGATGTTGAAAAAAAAATGATGTATGTGATAGTTTGCTTGACTCGATTGTTGTTGAAGATGGAAGTGCCAGTGGTTTATACAAAGCTGTTAAAACGACTCTGAATGATAAAAAAAAATTCCTATTTCAAACATCATTGGATTTGGAAGCGATAATTGTTCTACTATGATGGGCAACAAGAGCGGCTTTCAAACCCTATTGAAGGAAGACATTCCATCAGTTTTTGTTATGGGTTGCGTATGCCATTCTTTTGCTCTTTGCGCAAGTCACGCTGTGAAAATGTTGCCATCCTATCTCGAATCATTTTTAAAGAATATCACCTTCTATTTTTCCCGGAGTAGTAAGAGAAATAGGGATTTTACGCTTATCCAAGAGGTAACCAAGACAGAGACTCACAAAATACCAAAGCTAGCTCAAACTCGTTGGTTATCTCGTGGAAATGTCATCAAAATTATTCTAGAGCAATGGGATGCACTATTGTTGTATTTCCAGTCTGAATCAAAAGAAGATATACTTGATGGTGCAAATAATATCTACCAAACGTTCAAGAACAGAGGCACGAAACACATGCTACTATTTCTGAACTATGTGTTAGAGAAAGTTGATCGTTTGAACATCGAGTTTCAATCAGAAAACTTCAGACTTCATGTGTTGCATTCTATGGTGTATTCTGAATACAAGAACATTTTGAGTTGTTTCATCAGAGAAGAGGCAATTAAATCCACAAGAGCTTCAGCTATTGATCCAAGTAACAAATCATTACATAAGCATGTTAACGATTTGTATTTGGGTGGACGTTGCATGAGAGAGTTATCCTTGTTTCCAATCGGGGAAAATGATGTTAGATTTAAAAGGGATTGTTTGAACTTCTTAGTTGAGTTGTGCTTACAAATCAAAAAAAGATTCCCATTAGAAGAAGATGGCATTATCGCAAATTTACATATATTAGATCCCGCTGCCTCAAGAGATATCACTAAATCTCCCAGTTCCATAGTGAACGTAGCACAGAATTTTCCCCATATTGTTCCTGAGGATGTTCTTGACAAACTCGACGATGAATGGAGGCTCTTTCGGCAGTTTAGCGATGTATCTTTAAACTACACTTCAGTCCCTGGCTTCTGGCATTCACTGCGTAACATTAAAGACGGGATGAATCGACCAAAGTTTGGAACTCTGTCTAGTTTTATGACAAATCTAACTATATTGCCTCACTCATCCGCTTGTGTCGAAAGGATTTTTTCGCTCGTTAACCACGTTAAAACGAAGCAAACAAACTCGCTTAAAACTGAGACAGTGACAGACAGATTACTTGCACGGCAGTTTCTTGCAAGGAAGCAACAGAATTGCTACACATGGAAGCCGAAACAAGAGTTAGTGAAAGACGTTGTAGATGGAACCTGCTATGCACGATATGAACAGCGTCTCAAACAAAATAACAGAGAGAACATCAATATAGCAGCAGCCGAAGATATATAATTCCATCAGAAGTAAGTAAAATTACAATGTTTTTGATGAAATTTGTTGTCTGGGTTTTTTTTCCACAAAATCTGCAGAATCTGGGTGTTTTTCAGCAACCATCTAAGTTTTTCTCAAATTATTGGCTGGGAGCCCTGGTTGTCACTAAACTAGAGCTTCGCTTCACGCGGAAAGCCACGATGACGAGTTCATCGCACGGTCCTGAGCGGGAAACTACTCACTAGAGATCCGTCTCTGCGAGCCTGATGACCGTTCCTAGTTCTTCCTTGTGGAGTCTAGGAGGGGCCGTGCGCCGGCTGAGTGGTATGCTCCGACTTTTTGTCCGTTCTCCTCATGGAGACCAATAAATCTTGAACTCTCTCTACTTCGTTAGATATGCTCTTTCAAAACCTTGATACAATGAAATTAGTCAACAATCATGCAGGAAATAAAATGCTGAGGACTTCGTACTTTCAAAATATTTATTCTAACGTAATCAAAGTTTTATTTGCTAACACGATTTTTCACACTATTGCGTGCAAAATTTCATCATTGCCGTCCAATATCTAAGTTGATCAACTGCTCTAAGAGTAAATTCTTGATTCACGGATTATTTCATTTGTAGAAAAATGAAATTCATAGTGCGTTTGGTACGTTGCTTTCTGCGTGCGTGTGACGGCCATTCCTTAACTAATATCAGGATGGACAAAATTCTTGTTATTTGAGATGTGTCTGGGTTATTGTATGAAATGTAACGCTTGAACTCCCATGAAATTAAGAAATGTGCATTTTTCAGTTCTTGTTGAGAGTTCAGATAATTATCACACAAGTGTCCTGTTACGACCGATCATTTTGCAGGTAAAAAAGTTTCTAGCTACGTCATTTGAGCGTCCATTTTTGCTCTTCAGCTAAAAGTGAAGTCTTTCTACCAGTCGGGATAACGAATGCTCGGCCACATGTTATAAGTATCATTTGTGATATTGTATATCGATCATTTTATATCCATGAACGACTTCCGCTATCAAGTCGCATATGATCAACCGCAGTTAAACAATTATTTTGAAAGTAATTACATCCCACGTTACTAGCCAGGTTCCATTTTGCTCAGTTACACCCCTAAAAGAAGCATTTTCTTGAATTTATTTTCATGTCTTCAGTGCTGGTGAGCCGGTGTCAAGAGTTTTGCGCTTTCAGTATCGCTTCTCGGCCTTTTGGCTAAGATCAAAGTGGCCTTTTGGCTAAGATCAAAGTGTAGTATGGAGACCATTGCTGCAGAGGAGGCATCGACAGCGGACCGAGGATCTTCACAGCCTGCACCGGAGGACGTCCCACAACATCTACCTGCAGTTGCTGAACTACGGCACCCGACCCGCCAGGGAGCATCTGTTACCCTCTACTATCCCCTGCCACTCAGCCTGTCCTGCACCGAACCTGGGTGCTCATGGCAATGCGTCTCTACTGATTGGACCCATAGGAAGCAAACCCTATGCAGGCACTTGGAAGGGAGACACCTCATCGCTCGACCGACGTTCAACATTACCTGTGCTCGGTGCGACGCCGCCCTTGGCAACAGACCTTCACGCCATGCATGTACCGCAGCACCTGCTAGGGAGATAGTGGCAAGAATCCACACCCACGTATGCCCCCGAGAAAGGTGCGACAAATCCTTCCCCACGGCTCGGGGCCTCATGAACCACATCGCAATGCACAACAGACGCGATGCGCAAGAGTTCCAAAATGCGCTGGTCCACGCCATAGAAAACGATCAAGAGAGACCACCAGCCGAAGCAATGCAGATTGATCTTGTTCAGGCAAACGACCAAATCATTCAAGAAATTAATGCTGCAAATGACATTGCTATAGAACCACACCAAGCAATGAATCACACCCCTACAGAAGTCACCCCCGAGACCGAAGAAGATGATGAGGCTAGCGAAGTCTCCGTTCACGAAGAGCGAGACATCAGCATCGACATTGCCGAAGAAGAAGACAACGAGGGCGCCGCAGGAGTGACTGAGAACACTTTCACAACCAACGACGAAGAAGGACCGACGGAGTGGGTGCTTGAACAATTCATCGCACCTCTCAACGGACTGGCTCGAAACATAAACTGGGATGAGTTCGAACTGCTCCTTGAAGATATTACAACGGCAGTGAAAACACACCAGAAAATTCGACCACCCTCCGAAGAGACGAGGAATTTCAGAACTGACCCTTTGGACTGCAAGTCAATTCAACAACTTTATAGACGCAATCGTCGACGGGCAGTGCGCCTGATACTTGATGGTGAATCAGAAAGGTGCCAAATACAGGACGCAACAGTGATTGCTCATTATTCAGAGATATTTCGAGAAAAACAGTTCGACGCACGCAGAATAGAAGCCTTACCAAGCCCCCCGCCAGGAAGACAACCGGCAACTATGGTTCCTTTCCAAGAAAACGAAATCCTCGAGCGATTGAGAAAAGCCGAGAACACTTCACCGGGCAGTGACGGCATTACGTACAAGCACTGGAGAGCCGTCGATCCCGAGTGCCGTGCCCTTCATCTTATATACAAAATTTGCTTACAAAACAGACGAATCCCATCCGTGTGGAAGGAGTCGAAGACAATCTTGATTCCCAAAGGCGGCGAACCCACCGACATTAAAAACTGGAGACCCATTGCCCTTTGCAGAACCATCTACAAAATATACGCAAGCTGTCTTGTAGACCGTCTCAGAACTTGGGCTACGAACGAAGGCGTCTTCTGTCAAGCACAAAAAGGATTCATGCCTCATGACGGAGTGATCGAACACAATTTTGCGCTTCAAACATACCTCGACAACGCGAGACGCTCCCAGGGTGAAGTATGTGTGGCTCTGCTGGACTTCTCAAATGCATTTGGTTCAATGCCCACAGCCGTCATCAGCACAACATTGAAAAGGGCCGGGATTGGAGACGATATGATCGAAGTCCTCGAAGACATAATGAATGGAGGCTCGACATGCATCGCAACCAAAAATGGAGTGACTGAGCCTATTGAGGTAAACAGCGGAGTCAGACAAGGCTGCCCCCTGAGCGGATTCCTCTTCAATTCTGGACTTGAGTCCGTTTTGAGAGCCATCAACCACCTTGGACAAGAGCTACAACCCTCAATCCAACACCACTGCTTAGCGTACGCCGACGACGTCACACTCATCGCGGAAAATCCCGACAAACTCCAGCAGCTCATCGACCTGACACATGAACATAGTCGAGACTTAGCACTTGAGATCAACCCCAGAAAGTGCGCAACACTTCACTTGAGTGGACGTGCTCCTCGAGGACCGCGAATGACCGAATTCCACATCCAAGAAACCGGGATCCAGATGCTTGAGGAATTCCAAAGCACCAAATTCCTAGGGCGACCAATTGGATTCAACATCTTGAAAGAAAATGACCGCATCGACCAAATAAATGCTAAAGGACGAAAAATCCTCAACAGCAAACTGGCGCCTTGGCAACGAATTGACGCCCTACGATCCTTTGTCCTGCCTGCCACCATATTCCTTATGCGCTCCTGGCAGTACAACAAAACTACATATGAAACACTGGACCGCGAACTAAGAGCACTCATCAAGAAAACGCTTTACTTACCTCAGCGAGCAGCAAATGAGTACTTATATGGGAGCTCTACTGGTGGAACATGCGCTATTCCAATTGCTGCCGAAGACTCAGACCTGTTCCTAGTGGATACTTCGTTCAAACTATTGACCTCTCCTGACGAGGCCATCAGAATAACCTACCATGCATTCTTGTTTTAGTTCATTAATTCAAACTATGTTGTATCCAAATTATTGTAAACTTTCTTGCAAATAAACATTTTGAAATCTGTTCTTATCAGCTTAATATCTGATACGACCCCCATGTGGGGTCAACGATATTAATCTGATTTTTGGATCATGGCGAAGTGCTAGGAGCTTGCTCCACCTTTGTCGCGGATCGGCCCGGTATTGCACTACCTCCGGGATCGGTCCATGAAATAATCTGAGAGTATCAATCTTCTCACGTAATCTGTTTCCTTCAACTGCATTTGCATTCCCTTTTCTAAGATAGTTCAGATTCTCCATCTCAAGTTGAAATCCAACTGAACCTTAGCACGTGGCCTACCAATATTTGTTGTTTCTTCAGTGGTTTTGTTTGAAACGAGAGTTTTTAAGTTATTCCTAAATACAATTATGTCCGAGCAGCTTACAAATAGTTCTGACAATATTTTAAAAATGATTGTAATGCTTGCTTACAGGATTTTCCGACCTGGTGTATTTCAAAGCTTTTCTAATGTACGACTCTGGCATTTTTGCGTGCATGCCGTGAATGTCTCTGAATGATTTTCGAGATGTCAGTCTTCTGTAAAGACGGATAATTTTTTCTTAACCGTGACAAAGTCACGGTGCACAAACATTCCTGACGTCTACGTTCGTAGGACTTTTGATATCCTCCCGCTCCGATTTTGTTTGTGAGCGTGGCATTACACACTGCCTTCTAAATAGCATTGACGTTGAGCCAAAAAAAATTTTATTGTTTAAATCGCGATATAAAATGACCTCATATCAAGTTCAATTCATGATAAACAAAACTCCGGTTCTTGAGATTACCTACATCATTTGACTTGCAAATAAAAACGAGATAACATCCCATATCTTGAAACAACATTTTAATATTTTTAAGTATATTCGATGAAAAATCAAATAATTTGAAACAATGTCTCACGGTGAAGTAAGAACTTTGAGAATAAAATATCCCAATAGGAGAAACCCTCCAATTTGGAGGAATGTATTAAAATTTTAAGCAAGATCTATGTGTTGTAGATAAATAGCAACAAATGATAGTAATGAATGATCGGAAAATGTTGGACATTGAATTTGTTCGAATTCGTATTTTTCTCATCACAGTTTGAAGGAATAAATTTGCAATATTTTCGGACATGGTTTAATCTCTATTCCATCTATAGTAGAAAATAATAATTTAGCTTGGAGAAAAATTATGTATTGTCAACATGACCGTGAACCTTCATTGATCTATTTCACAAAATTATCATAGATGACTTATTTTTGCAAGCCTGGCTTTGGTTCCGGCAATCTGATGCATCTATCAAAGTATACCAGCCTGCATTTTCTATAAAGCTCTAAAAACATTGCGTGAGTGGAAGCTTTTCTATTTAATTTACATGAAGACGTTTAAGTTAAACGATAGCGTAAATGAACAGAATCTATGAGCTACAATTCTATAGTTATTGAATTGCTTGAACCCCCGAAAAATAATATCGTTATAGAAAGACTGACATTCTAACCTTTCCGAGACGGGGCAG